ACTTCTTTTGTCTAGCCTTGTCAGTTTTGGCTTCAATTTTTTCTTGTATATTATTAATAAGTAATAAAACAACAAGGATARCATATTGGATTTTCTCTGTAAGACGAAGAATCAGACCTCCACAATCAGTTCTACGCTTACAGTGATATAGTCACAATATWCATTGGAGATGTACATTTRATCTTATTGTATTGAAAATRTTTTGCTCTTGGTGTATTCGCGCAACCATGTAATATCCAGTCTTTCTCAATTTTCCAAAAAACATAGCCCGCCTCACGCTTTACAAGCGTCTAGTTGTAGTTTCAGAATATCCCTTCAAACTAAGCGACACAAAGGAAAGGTAAGGTTGGTTATATGTAAGTAAATTTTTAGCCTTGAATAGATATTTTGATTTATCACGTTTGGAATGAGATTTCCAATGAGATTTGAAAAATAGCTAGAAGGATGATGTACAAGCAAATGTCTCTTAACTAAGATATCAGTGTTCAACTACAATGAACAACATCACCCTCTAGCTACTTTTCAAATCCTTTAACACTGTGTGTTACAGGTGTGTTGAAATGAGGATTTGTAAAAACCTTGAATGTCTATCTTTTTCTAACTTCATCACTTTGGCTATGTTCTGAGTTACTAATATCAATGATAATAATAATATTACATGTAATAAATAATAATATTAATTAGTGTAAATTATCAGTTTTAGCTTCAGAGTTGTATTTGAGCACTGATATCTTAGTTAAGAGATACTATGTGGTGTTTGTAAATCACCCTTCTAGCTATTTTTTCAAATCCTCAATCACTTTAACACACCTATAACACACGTAGTTAAGGTGTGTTAAAGTGAGAATTTGAGAAATAGCCAGAATAATGGTGTACAAGCATTACATAATGTCTCTTAACTAAGATGTTCAACTACAGTTTCAACTTTGAAGATAACACTGATAATTTATTATTTAATAATATTGTTATCATTATTACTAACTGAAAACATAGGCAAAGTGACAAAGTTAGAAAAGTCTAGACATTGAAGGTAATTTCAAATCCTCACTTTAACACACCTATATAACACACGTAGTTAAGGTGTGTTAAAGTGGGGATTTGTAAAATAGCTGCTTTAGTGAACTTGAACTGAACTTCACTACATATACCTTATTTTTTTTCTTCATTCTCTTCCTTTGTTATGTTTCTCGCTTTTTATATCTCTCTATTCTAGTACACCGAGCAGCGAAGAAGCTGAACTGAATATCCACTTGAGAGTGGCACGTATTGCTGGAAGGGCGAATGCCCGAAACTTTAAATAAATAGTAGAAATCAAGTTGCAAGTTTTGTGGCATTTTATAAATATATTTATCATATAATTATCTATGAAATACCTATATTTATCATATAATTATCTATGAAATACCTATATTTCTCCATTTCGTAAACTTGATATGTTCACTAGTGAAAATAACATGTTATTTTCACTAGTGAAAATATCACAGAGATTTCTCTAT